CCATGAGAACGGAATGCGATGAGAACACACTCTAATGCTCGTGGATTTCAATGCCGTCTAGACTTGCAATTCAAACAACAGAAGGGAGGGAAGAAGAAAAACAAGTTTCGTTCGCCAAGAACTGTCTGTAAGTAGCTGCAAGCCGATACATTCAGGAGGGTGTCGAAGCGAATCAGAAAGGATCAAATGGGACCTGCCATGAACTGCCTCCGTGTCTTTTTTTTGGGAATGCATATGTAAGCCAGCGATTCTATCATAATCACAACGGCCATTGCTAAAAGCGAAATTCTAAATCTCTCTTTGGCCTTTATACTGTGTGATCATTTGTGGTCACAATCAGCTACTTGCGAAGATTGGATGCTCCTTCCCTCACTTGCAACTCTGAGCCATGTAGCCCACGTCAAGAAAAGAAGAGTGGAGTTATTTGAAGGGTTTGCGGTATAAATCTAATTAATATGATTGGTCAGACTCGCATGCTCTCTCACCCGAGTCGCAGCACCTGGTCCTTATCTCTCCTTGCTTTACACGTACATCTTGCTAGCTATGGGTTCCAATGCATCTAAGCCCGCGTCTGCTTCTCAGATTGACGAGAAGCTTTCGATGCATGTACAGTCACTGTCGTTGGACACTGACATCAAGACTCCAACTTCGGTGGATGGCACTCTCACTCTTGCTAACCTTTCATCCTGGGAGAATGATATTGCCTCGAGCTCAAAGGCTCAATTAGCCCGTACCATTCTTCACCGAGCAAACCTAGCAGATGCTTTGACGCGCCGTGAGGCCACCATTGCGGACGTTCATGTATTCAACCACGAAGTTCCTTTCGAAACCTGGTCCCATTACGAATCAGAAGAGCTCAGGTAAGTCTATTTGAACTGTATGTCACCTTTCTTTGTTTTATTTTATTTACCTTTCCATCTCCAGGCCGCTGTTGGTTGTTCGCTACGACGAACGTGATCCGTGCGTTTCTCGACTTGTAGCCATATATATCATCACGCGTCTGACACCAGCAAACAGGCTACGACATTATGAAGACCTTGAATCTCAAGGAATTTCAGCTGTCCCAGTCTTATCCTTTCTTCTACGACAAGCTCAACAAAGTTCGTTCAGTTAATAACTTTAACCCACTCATGGAACATTCAACTGCGCTATAGTCTAACTATTATTTGGAGCTTTCCATCCAACATGCAGATCTCCCAGTCGATGACAGGCTCATCGTTCATCTCGCAGATGATTTGATTTCCGATGGTGGTGTGAGTCCCGTTCTTTACTGCACGACGCATTCAGACCTTAATACCTCCCAAAGCAATGGGAAATGTCCGTGAACATTCTTGACACCTATGGTGTCGTTCCCCAGGCCATATATCCCGAGTCTGCTACTTCAAGCTCCTCTCGTCCCCTCAACACGCTTCTAAAGACCAAGCTGAGGGAACATGCTTTAATTCTTCGCAAGATGTCAGCATCCCTTAAAGCAGCAGCGCAGTTTTCTGCCGAACAACAGCTGATGGCATTGCGCGCAAAGAAGGAAGAACTTCTAGCTGAAATATATACCATCATGTCTGCTACACTTGGCAAGGTAATGACCGCAATTTTTACCATCTACCTCTGAGGAGATTTCTGAACCACTTTAGCCGCCTCGTCCTGATGAGCCCTTTGTCTGGGAGTACTACGATGCTAACGGTAAGGTTGGGAGATGGGAAGGAACTCCAAGAGAGTATTTCAATGCTTTTGCAAGCAAGAAATTCAACGTAAGCTTCTCACCCCCTTTAACGCAACCACCATTTTTCAATCAAGTTCCTGGATTAGCCTCTGAATTCCTTCTCCTTGATCAATGACCCTCGTAACGATTACAGCAAACTATACACTGTGGACAAACTTGGGAATCTTGTTGGTGGTCGCCCAGTGCTTTGTACGCACTATTCTCTTATCTTCAGAATTGTTTGTATAACTTGAGGGCCACAGACGTCAACACTGAAATTGAGAATATGAAGACCATGATTATCAAGGTGCGACATCCTACAGCCCTCTCTTTGTCTCAAGTGTTATAACTGGCCTTGTACAGATGATCAAAGCGGGTCAGCCCGTATTCTTTGGGTGTGACGTTGGCGCGAGCTCCAATAGTACTGCTGGCATTATGGATACTGCTTTGTTTGATTTCGAGGTTTGGCGCTCTTATTTTTTTTTTTTCAATTTCGGGGCTTTACCTATTTCACCAGAATACCTTTGACATCACCCTTGGCTTGACTAAGGCTGAAAGGCTTCAGGTCAACGAGAGTGCCATGACCCATGCCTATGGTGACCTGATAGAGCTCTGTTTTGATTACACGAACTGACCTTTCCAATTAAGGTCATTTCGGGAGTTCATCTGTCCCCAGAAGGAAAGCCTGTTAGGTACGCTGAACCGCACTTCGATGCCTTCGTGGCTAACTTCAAGCAGGTACAAGGTCGAAAACTCATGGGGTGAGGGGAGTGGTCAATAAGGGATACTTCGTCATGACCGATGCCTGGTTCGACCAGTACGTTTCCTCTTATTCGCAGTTTACGATGGAATTGAACATTTTTTTCACAGATTTGTCTATCAGATTGTTGTGCCCCAAAGCATTAGCCCCAAAGGAATTAGTAGCAGTCCTAGAAACCGAAGCTATAGTGCTACCTCCTTGGGACCCAATGGTAAGCATCCCCCTACGCTGCTCGGGATCGGGCTGACGCCATCTCAGGGCGCCCTTGCTTGATCATTGATTCTGAACTGACGGAGGAAAGGCCCAAAGACGGCCATATTGTTCCTGTACCTATAACTCAGTGACTCGGGGTCTGTGCGGGCACATATCGTTTCTGTAGTCGTACAATCACCTTTCCTCGACCTTCTTTCCATCTTAACGAAGGATTCCGCAGCTCTTGAAGAGCTTCGGAATTCGCTCAATGCGCCGCGTCGGCGGAGCCATTCTTGATTTCGACTTCCATCAACCAACTCCCAAAATGCCAGACATGTGCCTGGTGTGCTGGCTCGTATAAAACCGGCTAAGAGCGTAGACAGGTCGCTTCAAACACCCCCTTGACTACTTTCCTTACCTACCTGGTGCAAGTTATGGCCTCAGGACCCTCATTCCTTCTCAAGACCTTTGGTAATGCTCTGCCGACATTCCGAGGCCCTCGCAATTGTGAGTTATTTGAGTATTTCCCCCTCCATCAACCCACTAGAACTGCGAGTAGACCAGCAATTATCTCAAGAGGACGGGACGGTCGTCTTCGACGCCGAAGCTCGGCCGATCGCACTTCCCCTAGACTACGAGGACAAAGAGCGAAATGGTGAAGAAGGGGAATCTCTTCTCGCATCTGGTATTTCTCGACTTCCAAAACGACCGAAGAAACTGAGGTCGTGTGGACTCAAGTGAGCATACTCTCTTAATCTTGCTTCAACAGACACTAAACCCCAGTATGGTACAGTTGGTTCTGGAAGACCGTCGGTGAGTGAAATCCGCCATTTCTCCGCCCCTTCTCTCATATTTACCTGGCCCTAGGTGCCCTTGTCTCGATTGTTTTGCTCTTTCTTCTTGGCAGATTCATCTTTGGTCGATTCTTTGGGCGTCCCGAGGCACCAGCCAAAGGTGGCAGGCCAGTGTACAGCGAATCCCTTGGATGCCACAACGCTCCCTTCATCTACAACTCTTCCTCCTTTTCTCTGTTCTCTCCGATGGGCAAGGATAACAACAACCATGTTCTTGACATCAAAGGTTTAGCTGTTGGTACTATTTCCCTCGCAAGGGGTGATGATGATCTCAAGGAAGTCATGTACGAGATTACAATCCGCACCAACGATGAGGAGAGGCTTGACGGCATCCACATTACCCAACCGCACATTACGGACGATTCTGAAACAGTTTTGACTTCCCGACTTATGATCAATACTGGATTTGTCAAGCCTGAAAGCGAGGATTCCTGCGTTCGTTTCGACATTGTTTTGTACATGCCTCCTTCTTTGGAGAAAATTCATGTCGCATCTCATGCTGCTCAAACCCATGTGCGGTTCGATCCCGACGTTGACATGGAAGTCCTTAAGAGTCTTTTCGTAACTCTATACAGCACCTCTTCTCAGAACCTTATTCTGCCTCATGAACGCCTCCGCTCCCCGAAAATGTCGCTTGAAGTGTTCAATGGGTGGATTGTTGGTGACATACTCGTACATGACGATACCAAGGTTTGTTCCCTTGCTGATCGTTTCCTTTGCCGTTCTCTTATATTGGGTGTTCCAGATCAAGACTCAACGTGGACATGGTGTAACTGACGTCAAGGTGCATGCCTCTGGTTCTCCTAGCGATACACCTGCGTCTCTGTACACTGTCACTGGTGGTGGTCGCACTGACATTGAATATGTCGGCGGAAGCGAGCGGCGTGCTATGCGGAACGTTCATCTTTCCACAGACCCTGATGCAAAGATGTTCCTCAAATACAGCGATGCCGCCTTCAGCGGTCGCATCGAAATGGGAGCTCCCAAGTTTGAATCTCCCAAAATCCAACCCCTCGAATCCACTGTCGGCATCGAAGAACATGATGACAGCATCATGCACCGTCAGGCAAGTGTCCACTTCTTTTCACTGTGGATCCCGCACCGTTTCTTATATCTGAAACTAGTGGACTCACTATTACAACGATGTCAATGGCCCAGATGAGCTTAATATCGACTCGCGAGGCTGGGCTGCTCTGGATCTCTAGAATTGTCTCTTTGTTTGGGAAGGCTCGGTTTATTATATGTGTAATAATGTAATAAGGTATACCAATAATTGTCGGTATCATTGTAAGACCTCTTGGTTTAGTTCTCTCTTTGTAAATTTACAACAAAATATGTTGAGTGTTTCTGAACGAATCTCACTGAAGAAGCTAAATGAGAGAACATTTTGAGTAAAGGCTCGTCATTTAAAGTAAGCTACGATGACAAAACAAGCTTTTAGAAGCCATGCCCTCCGACTCCAATTCGCAGAACACCCACTGCTTAAAAAGAAAAAGGGCCCAGCCGGGAATTGAACCCGGGGCCTCGTCCATGAAGAACCATGTTCTCGTGAGTTAAGAAACCCCGAAGGACGAATCATACGTCTAGACCACTGGGCCGTATAATTTGATTCCGTTTTAGGTTGCTTAAATTGTATTGGAAGGTTTGGCAAGCCAAATCCGTTGATCATTTGGTTCACATCATGCACAAAGCAGACTATGACCAGGAACTCCCGACGAGTTTGCACCCTTCTGTCTCGAATACCTCGATAAATACTTGGACGTTTCATAACTGATTTTAACCTGTACGTGAAGTCAAGCTCCCCAAACCTGGCTGTTGGAATATCCAACCCAAAGCTTTTATTTTGTCTCTTAGCTCACTTGATCCACGAACTTGTATCAGATAGATGCACTTGCCATTAGAGAGTCGTGTAAGGTAAAGCCAATGTTGTTTGTATACAAGTACAATGGTGAATTGCGAAAGATAGAAGATGAGGAGAAAGCAATTTGACGGCTATACAGAATGAAGATCTAGGTCCGAAGTGTGTATGTGTATGAATGTTGTTGGATGGAATATGTACAAATGATAATGCAAAGAAACAGAGTCAGTGGATGAATGTAAAAGTGCCGATGAAGAATATGAATGTGAATGAAAATGCAGAGTGAAAGATATGCTGTAATGCAGAGGCGAATGCGAAGCCTTTCGTTTTTAAAAGTTCGTGGCGGTGGTCATCAAGTCGTGATCAAATCTATGAAGCAGAGGGATTTCGCTCGGGACGAGTTTTGCCCCGAACGCCGGCATGGACCTTCTGTTCCCAAATAGCAGGGCCCTCGTCTCCGACCCAGCGACCGTTCTGGGAGGCTCTCTCAAAATCCCCATCACGGTATCCATACCGGTCTTGGAGGAGGCGGAGAAGAGGGTTGCGAAGTGCAGGGTCCATGCGAACGCTTTCGCCGGGGTGGTAGCTGCCCACGTTGTGTCGGGCTAGACTCTCTTCGAAAAGCGCCTCCTCATACGTGCAGCCGCAGTTGAGGACACCGGGAGGTGCATTTCGAGGAGGGTAAGCACGACGTTCACGACGAGAGTCATGCCAAGCACAGAGAGCGTTGCCTGCCCTATTTAAAGAACAGAACAAGCGAATACGAGCTTCAGTGCGAGCATTCCACGAAGCTTGGAATGTAGGTGACGGAGGAGGCGACGTATGCTGCGAAGTTGAGACGCTCGGATGCAATGACGCTTGTGCCAATTGCATGCCGCCAGTGAACGAACGAAGCTGTTCTTCTGATTGACGATAAAGAGCCTCCATGTCACGGAGCCGCTTTCGCAAGAGCCGGTTCTCAGTCTCCAAGGACTGAGGGGAAGGACTGGTTGAGTTCGGAGTGTAGGGAGTAGCGTAGGATGACGAAGGAACCTGCCCAGTCATTTGTCGGCCACCGGTGGTGAAAGTTTCAGGAAAGAGTGTGGTAGGAAAGTGAGAAGGAGTCATGGAATCCGGAGAGACCTGGCGATACGAAGCACCAGTCTCGTAGGCTTCGAAAGGAGCGTTAGGGTTGGTGTACGGACCAGGCATAGCAGGGTAGTTCGCCTGCGTAGCTGTCACAAGGTCAGAAGGCGAGGGCCATGGGGCTGACAATGGGCTAGCATGATGCATGTTCACATCGTATGTCGCATGGGCTGCTCCTACATTGTTGGGAGAGGCAGACCCGGACTTGTGAGAGTGTGATGAACCAGCATCACCCATCGACCTCACACTTGAGTGAGATGATCCAGGTCTAAGGTCGACAGGATCTGAGGAGGGAGTGAACTGGAGGAGGGAAGGTTAGACTGGAAAAAAAAACATAGTGGCAGAGTAGAGCTTACTGTGCCGAGTGCGTTACCAAGGGTGTAGGAGGTAGACGCGTCGGACGGCCGTCGCTGATGAGCGAAACTCTGGCGAGCAGTCTTCACGACTGGGGACGTATTCCAAGTTTGGTCAAATGGAGCAGCAGCCATGGCTGAGTGTCCGTCACTGTTGGTGGGTCGAGAAGGGACAGTGTAAGGTCTTGCGCGCTGCTTGCCCAGAGATATGGACGAGCGTCTTACGAGAGATGAGTCGGCCGTTGTGGAAGAGTGGGAACGGGATAGGGCGATGGGAGAGTGAAGCGATGTGGTGAGGACAGAGAGGGCGGAGGCAAGCATTTTACCAAGACGTCTTTAAAAGGCGGGCCAACGCAGATCTGTCATAGCACTGCAAATCGTATATGAATCAATTGGTTTACACCCATAGCAGCTGATGGTCTCTATCCTCTCGTCGTCCTTGCAACGCGCGCGCACTCCCGCCATCAATTCTGATGGCGCCATGCGTCGGAGCCCCTTGACTGTTTCACGCCATCCTGACTTACTGCGGGCCAACACCTTGAAAATGGCTAACCCCCCCTTACATAGTAGACAAGCGAATCTTTCTGAGGGACTGAAGTCGCTCTCAGCCATAGGTACAGTGATGGAATGGGACAAAGCCTGACGAGCGCTTGCTGGCTTGGGGGAGAGCCCTTTTTTCTTTGATGGATGCTAAACATGATGACCTTGATGGCGGCACCAGGGGGCGTATCATGGTCGCCGCTCCGGCAAATCTTCATATGCCTGGCCTCCAATGGCGCACCTCGCGCCGCTCGTTCGACATTTCATCACGCAACAAACCCCGACCCAAAAATTCCACAAACTGCCTTCCATCGGCCCAAAGTGGCCAGTTCCATCGAGAAAACTGACCGAAACGAATCCGATTTCTCCCGCGAGGACTGGCAACTTTTAAACCAAAACTAAAACACCCTCAGATTTTGTGTTTAATCGCAGAGACGTGATTCCGTTGTATCTGAAGGCGAGCTCGGAATGAAAAGCCCGCCTGCTCAAGGCACATGAGAAGTCGAAGCGCGAAGATCAGCACGCCGATCACAATTCGCAGATCTTCTGTGCGGAAGTTTCGGTAGTTTCAGCAGTGCTCGAAGTAGTGTTGTCATGTTGTCCTAAAGTATGCACATTGCACATGGAGACATCTAAGCACTCGAAATTGGTGAGAAATATAAAGCTAAGATGTTCAAGTTGACTGCTTTCAGCATCGAACATACAAGACGATCCCGTAGCCTGACAATGCTCAAAATCTGGATGTACGAGACTTGAGCCAAATTTGAGCACCAGTCATGACCAGTAGTTCATAGTTGGCTACACTATATTTTCTTTTGCTAGAAATTTAGCATTCAGCGAAAGCACTAAGAGAGGCAGTAAAAGAATTATACAATAGTTTGGTGAGGCTCGGATTACAACGTTGAATCCTGGCGTTAGGAGAACCGAGCAAAGAGTGCCAGTTGCTCCTCTTTCGACAGGCCTCTTCGTCCTCTCCAGTGATTTAACATCAATGGAGGGTCAGTCCCCGTAAATGGTCTGCACTTGACGCGTCGAAGCGCCTCAACAAGACGTGGGGCATCTTCCGCCGTTAACAGGCCCAACCTTATAAATCCAATATTAGGTCAGTGAAACAGAAAAAAAAGGAAGTTTTAAAAACTGAAAAACAATTGTACCATTCTCCTAAAGGATAAACAAGCACATTGGCCGCCAAACTATAAAAAAAAACACTAAGGTCAGACTGCACGAGATAAACGAAACCTAGACCAAACTCACTTGTGTTTGCCGACATGAGCAACTTCGTGAATACGTATTGAAGGGTCTGTGGATGTTTCTTGTCGAAGTGCTTCGGCCAAAGGTCCTCCACGGTCTGCACATCGACAGTCTCTCGCCCCATGTGTGCAGACATACAGGTCCGTGAATTCATCTTCGACGCGAGAATAATTCAGACCAGGAAGTTCAAAGTGCCGCAATAAATTGTCCTCGTGATCTTCGATAGTGTGTAAAGAAAGATCTGGAATTTCCAGTCGCCCCTTCGCACTGAAGACGGTGAGTCGCGTCTTGTCATCCGAGGTAGGCAGATCCATCCCAGGAAAGATTAACTAATCCGCCTTATTTACAAATTTCAGCTGGAGGGCGCGTTGGAGAGGAGTAGCAAAGCGAGAAGGGGAATGTAGTTGGAGGGGCCACTGAGTTGAGGAACAAGTACGCGCGGTGGTTCGGCACAGTGGCAACAAGCTCGTTGGACTCAAGAGCAATGGGCTGTGGAGAGGAGGAGTAAAAATGCGACTTGCACGATCCCAGAGATGAGTTAGTCTAGGGGCGAACCATGTCTTAGTCGTAGATGGAGGCGAGAAGCAAGAACAAAGCGGATTGCTGATGATGTCTTCTTATGTACTCTGGGCACACTCGCTGGTCTTACAGCGGCAAATTCTATATTCTGAAACTAAAGGAAAATCTTGTCATAAGAAATGACACTAGTACTGCTCCGTAGGTATAGAATTATTGGGTATTCTTAGCCTGGTCGGACTTTAAGGTGTTCAGTACTCAGCACTTATTTGAGGGACGTCATACCCAAAAATTCTCCATAGGCTTATAGATCTTCAATTAGCTGCTCGAAGCGCTGCTTCCTCTTCTGCCTGGGCTTTCATATCTTCATTCTCGATTTCCTGGGAAATGGATCACGTCCATAGAAGACAGAAGAAGGATGGAAATGCTTACCTGACATGCCCAGACAACTATTCTCTTAATGGCCTCAGTTACTGCTTGAGTTGACAAAGGCTGAAGAAAATATTCAGACGAGGTATTGTCCATGCGTAGATGTGCGAACCTGGTCTGGAGGGGGTGTATGAAGAGCTAAAACATAGGTCGTTCTCCGTTTGTTGTATTGATGCTTCGGATCGAATTTGTAATGCCGATCTGCCTCAGCCAGAGAGCAAAAATATGCATAGTCACAAAGATAATGCGCGGCATCCATGGAGGTGTAAATGCGCTGCAGAAGATTGAATAGACGAAGTAGAAGACTGCTATCCAAACATACATCCTCACCGCTCTCTTTCAAATCGCTCACGAGGCGTTGGACGTCAAGCTGCGTTATGAGTTCTTCTGGGTGATTGTCATATCGTGGAGGCCCAAAGCCGCGTCGCTCTGCCCTGGGCGGAGGTTCTGGAGCGGAAGGGTCATTTGGAACGAGAGGTACAACACCCTCTGGCCAGGTTGTTCTGGTTCTTGTACAATCTTGTTC